CTATACTTATTACATATTTCTCTCTTCTTATATAACAGGACTCGTTTTTCATTACGGGTTTTATCATCTGTGGAATGAGATTGGTATGCTAGATTTGGAGTTTATTGGATTAGATTGTGGCCAACATGGGTTCTTTGTCTGGGATTATTCAACGGCCACTTGTTGCTGCTGCTGCTGTTATCGCCGCTTCTGTGTCTGCAGATGTCTCTGAGAAGTTTTCTTCTATTAGATCACTAGTTCGAGGTTCTGAATCTGCTGCTTCAGTGTCTGCTTCAGTTCAGGACGAAAGGTCCTTGTGGGTTTCTCAAATCTCGGCCTCCAAGCTCGCGGATTTGTCTTTTGTGTCGAGGATTCGTTTCCCCGTACCTAATGTTGATTTTCTAGCTCCTAATCCGAGCTGTAATCTCGCTCCCTCTGTTACTTCTCTGTCTGCTCTTCGTAGTGTCTATCAGTCTGCAGAATTGGCTAAGGCGTCCAAACCAGTGACATTTACAATCGGGGCCTCGCTTGTGGTTCCTGATGTTTCCTACAGGTGGCATTTGCCTGAGACTAGTGCAATTGATTTGTCTGGTTCCTCGAGTTGTGCGTCTGAGAAGAATAGAACTGTTGTGGTTTTGCTTGGATGGCTTGGATCGAAGCAGAAGCATCTTAAGAAATATGCGGATTGGTATACTGCAAGGGGTTACCATGTCATTACATTCACTCTTCCCATGAATGAGATTATGAGTTATCAAGTTGGAGGAAAAGCAGAGAAGAACATCGACTCGCTGGTTAATCACTTGGCTGATTGGTTGGATGAAGAGCAACAGAAAAACCTCGTCTTTCACACCTTCAGCAACACTGGATGGTTAACGTGCGTTCTATATCTCTGGTTTTTTTTCATGTGTTTACATTCCAGTTTCACATTTCACTCAACGAATTTTTCATCTATTGCATACGCAGATATGGAGCCATTCTGGAGAAGTTTCAGAAGCAAGATTCATCATTGATGCAAAGAGTTAAAGGTTGCATCGTGGACTCAGCTCCTGTTGCTGCTGCAGATCCTACGGTAAGCGATGATCTTGCATTCATAGCTATGTTTATACGGTCATTTAGCTGCAAAGAAGATTTGTTTCGGGACATGACTTGTGCTAAAACTATATAGGCTTGGATACCTGACTTGTTAGATGCTGACGGATGCTCTTCTTCTGCATTATTCGATTTAACTTTCTGTATACTAATTTTGTGAAAACAGGTATGGGCATCGGGTTTCTCAGCTGCGCTCTTGAAGAAAAACAGCGTAGCCACTAAAGGATCCGCAAGCTCATCATGTGAGTTAAACGTGGGAACGCAAATTAACTTCTCTGAGCCTACACCTGCTGCAACAGAAACAGCTTTGCTTTTAGTACTCGAAAAGTTCTTTGCGGTGATTCTAAATCTTCCTAAAGTAAACAGGTAACAAGCTCCCCGCCTTTCAATCTTTCATCACCCATTCGTTCACCCAAATCCCATGATTTCACATTAACAAACTCGTCAATCATTTTCGTACAGGAGACTTACCAACGTTGTAGACACTTTATCATCAGAACAACCAAGATGTCCACAGTTATACATTTACAGCTCTGCAGATAGAGTTATCCCCGCAGGACAAGTTGAATCATTCATTGTAGAGCAGAGGAAAGCAGGACACGAGGTCCGTGCTTGTAACTTCATATCTTCACCTCATGTAGACCATTTCCGGAGTAACCCAGAACTGTATACAGCTGAGCTCAACCATTTCATGGAAAACTCGGTCCTTGCTTGCTGCAATCATTCTTCATAGCCACTTCCACGAGTGTTGTTGTTGCTAACTTTTTTGTTGGGTCATTTTTTAAACTCTAAATACAGAGAAAAGATACTGACTGATGATTCTTTTGGCGTCGATTGGTATATACTATATAGTTACCAGATTGTTTCTTCCTTTGTAAATGATTAGATTTTGTACATTTCGGAGTATGAGGATTCAAGAAAGTGACCTCCTTTTGTTATTTGTTCATTCAGGGTTGTTGACGCCAATTGTAAAGTCTTTGGCTATTTTCGTAATTTTTATAATTATGAGGGATCAAAACTGTACTTTTAATTATGCGACGCTTGTGAACCAGCGATTGCGTTTGATAAAAAAATGCCAAACGCAAAGGTGTGAATTGCGTTTGAAGCGGCGGAGAACGATCTGGGATTTGGGTTGAGAATCTTTTTTTTCTTTTCTTTTTTCCCGTATGTCATTTTGTGGAACTCGGAACCTCTCTTTCTCTTTTTTCATCTCCTCCTCTGACGTAACCCTAACGAAGTCGAAGATTCTCTGGTAGATCTATCTTGATTCGATTTTTCTTTTTCCCCAGAAAAGATCGCTAAAAGTCGCCATTGATATCGAACGAGAGAGGTGGGGTTTATAGTAGTCAGAGGTATATTGATTGAGAGAGAGAGGAAAAGAGAGTTATGGATTTGGATCAATGGATTTCGAAGGTTAAAGAAGGTCAGCATCTCTCCGAGGACGAGCTTCAGCTTCTCTGCGAATACGTATGTCATCTTCTTCTTCCTTACTTGCTTTCTCTTCTGAATGGAACCCATTTCTTTTCTGGGTCGATTGAGGCTTAGAGCTTCTTCTGCTGTTCTCTCTACTTGTATCTTGGTGGAACGTGAATTTGAATTTGGTCTTTACCCTTTTTAGTTCCTGGATTTAGGGTTTTTCTTTCTTTTTCAACCATGGATGTATCAGAGATGGTTCAATCAATTTTGTAATTGGGATGCAGTTTTTGTTCTTCTTTCTTAGAGATTGATTATATAGATTTGCCAAAGTGCATAATGGTTAACCAGAAGATGTTCATGTGTATAATGCTGCAGGTGAAAGAAATTCTCATTGAGGAGTCAAACGTACAGCCTGTCAACAGTCCAGTCACCGTCTGTGGTGATATCCATGGCCAGTTTCATGACCTAATGAAGCTTTTTCAGACCGGAGGTCATGTTCCCGAGACGAATTACATATTTATGGTACCGACCTTTTCTTTTCTTTTGTCCGGTCTCTGGTATGACAATCAATATGAATACGATCATGATTTGCTGTGGGAAATTCGCAGGGAGACTTTGTGGATAGAGGTTACAACAGCCTTGAAGTCTTCACTATTCTTTTGCTTCTTAAAGCTAGGTAAGTTGTTTCATAAATGTTCAGGATACTCCTGTCATTATTGTGCATAATGCGAAATTCTTGTTTATTAAGCAATTAATCTTGACAATTATAAATCTTTCTTTGGAAAAGGTTTTGCTTATTGCAGTTATTAACCAATTACTTGTTGCATTCAAAATTAGTCCACGAGGACGTGATTGCTTCTCAAGGCTCTGTGTTTTATGATTTTGCAAAGATACTGAATAGAATTTTTTGGTTCTGACTGATAGAAGAGTGAAATCTGCTCTCACACTATATGCACTAGTTTTCTTGAGAATGCTATTTAAGCTGTAAAATCCATTGCTCTTTTAGATGTATATCTTCTCCTTATGGGGATTTAAATATCTAACTTTCTTTGGTGTGCTAAAACTGTTTTTTATTGTCTTTTGTATTCTAATATGTAGATATCCAGCCCATATTACACTTTTGCGTGGAAATCATGAAAGTAGGCAGCTAACGCAGGTATGCATTATTCTGTTCCACTAATATCTATTACTGTTCTCTTAATGTAGGTTTTTGAAAAGTTCTGATTTTGTACATGTGGCAATGCCATGTCAGATGTATACATGGATGTTAGCTAAGATCCATTTTATGTGAATCGAGTATTGGAAAGCTAATTTCAGAAGGTGCTTTATATAGTACCAGTCTCCTTTTTAGCATGTGTGGTCTCCCTAGTTATTGATGTATCTTCATCCCTACATATGCTGTTTAGGAAGAAAGTTTTATGGGTTTTTTTTTCTTTTTCAACTCACTCCTGGCAAACTTTCATTAAGTTTAAACTTACGAGTGTACCTTTTGGTGCAATGAAATGCGATTCCTCGAATCTGCAGACAATATGAGCAAAAATATTTTTACATGGCGATAATTCTTACAAAGTTGGTATTTTGACACGTAAACCATTCCAGGAGATGGATGAAGTGTAGTTATTCTCGATCTTGGATATTCCTTTGTCACACTGAACTGTGAAATTGATATAACATGACATCCACAATAGAAATTTGTGATGGGGCTTGTTTACTTTTATCCAGCTCTTGGTTCCAATGAAGATTTATGATTCTAGTTTTACTTTTGTGTTACATTTTTAGTGAGGTCTTTTGTGCTGCTGGAAGGCACATTTTAGTATGTCATTTACAGTGTTAAGAGTCTCATCCCAATTTTATGTTTTCCAGGTATATGGTTTCTATGACGAATGTCAAAGGAAGTATGGTAACGCTAATGCGTGGCGATATTGCACAGATGTTTTTGACTACCTTACACTGTCAGCTATTATAGATGGCACAGTAAGTAACTTCTTCATGAACTTAGGTTGTCGATGAGAATGCATATGTTAGCTGCATGGTATACTAAAATAAAATTTTCTTTGTCTAGGTTCTATGTGTTCATGGTGGCCTTTCCCCAGATGTCCGGACAATTGATCAGGTTAAACTCTGCTTTTATTGCTTTTGACTTTCACCCATCAAGTGTGTTTCTGGCTCAGCATGTTATTAAGGTCATCCACTCACTTAGATTTTATTGTGGGCTCTAGATAAGACTGATAGAGCGGAATTGTGAAATTCCACATGAAGGGCCCTTTTGCGATCTTATGTGGAGCGATCCTGAAGATATTGAAACATGGGCTGTTAGTCCACGTGGAGCTGGTTGGCTTTTTGGATCGAGGGTTACCACTGAGGTATGCTCTTTTTCTTGAATTGTTGATTCAATACTGTAATTAACAAATTGAGCTTAATGTCTCTGATATTTGATTTTGGCTTTTTGTGCAGTTTAACCATATCAACAAGCTTGATCTAGTATGCCGTGCACACCAGCTTGTACAAGAAGGTCTTAAGTACATGTTCCCAGATAAAGGCCTTGTGACTGTGAGTGTCCTGCTTCTTATGACTTGACATTATTATTCTGGATATTTCTGGAAATATTCTTTGCTTGATGTTGTTTTTTTCTTCTTCTTTTGATGTGAAGGTATGGTCTGCACCTAATTACTGCTACCGCTGTGGCAATGTCGCTTCTATATTGAGTTTCAATGACAACATGGTGAGCCATCTCTTCAGTCTTTCCGAATTGAATAATCTGATCTTCTATCTTCATGCATAGCATAAAAGAGAGGATTCTATTACTCCAGTGATTTTACATAATACTTTTTGATATTCTGCGTTTTGAAAGTAATGGTTTTAAGGAGATTAGAGAAAATTAGATACGTAAGTTGTGTGCACAATGGCTAAAATATTTGCTTTTGCCATAGATTCTAGGTAACTGCATAGTATTGTATCATTCATTCTCCATTGATTCAGGTTCTGTGTGTATTGTGGATCCTCCTTGGGTTAATAATGAAATCCATGAAAAATGCATGTTTTTACCAGGAAAGGGAAGTGAAGTTCTTCACAGAGACAGAAGAGAACAATCAAATGAGAGGGCCAAGGACTGGAGTTCCGTATTTCCTATGATGAAACGACGATTCACACTATTATATGTGCCCCCTTCGCTTGGAGTGATGATGATGATGAAGCCATTGCTACCATTGGCAATATGTTCAGTCTGAAAAGGT